ACTGGTCCCTCAAGATGTCCCTCTCGAGCTTGAAACATCCGACCCCACAACAATATGGAACTGCTTCCTGTTTGCCAATGTTCTGTTTCATGCTCGGATCCGATAACAGATGTGTGATCCTCTCGTTTTGCTTTTTGTTCCGCGGTCTTGTGCCTGCTGTTTGTCTCGAAATTGAAACGTGTCAGCAATAACGTCCACGAAGAGGGTGAGCGACGCTTGTGTCACCGTCCCCGTCCATGGTGAGGTGGCCTCAATCACCTTGCTCTCGGCCTGGGCGTAGTTTGCCAAACCCATCGCGTGCGCCATGACGAAAAGGAACACCATGACGGGGTCGCCTGGCACGCATCCCTCGCCCATCAGCAGCAGGCGATCTGCGTCGCTAGAGAGATTGAAGTGCGCAAATTTCACTCTGTCCAGCATCAGCGGAACATGTCGTGGATGCACGCATCTCATGATAATTTGGTTCAGTCGACCTGCTTTGATCGAGTGGAAGGCGATCGCTGCATCATGTAGGCGCCGTACGTGTTGGTGCCCGTGTCGCTTCATCCTCCATGCGCTGCACATCTAAGCCACAATCGCACTTTCACGCCGTCGATGTCGCACAGCCCCATCGGCCCAGCACGGCACCCCGTCGGTGTCGGCCGCTTTCAGGATCGCCCGAACGTGAAACTTGGCGAGGTTGCATATCATCATCACCACTCGCTCGCCATCGACGCCTTCCTTCTCGTTACCCTTGCCGATCTGTGCAGCTCGCGCTCGTTTCCAAAGTAGAGGCACTCTCTGCGTACGAAGAATACCTTCCACAAGTGTCCAAAGAAAACAGTGAAACGTCGGTGTCTTCAACTTCTCGATCAGGGGCACAAAACCCACGCCCTGCCTGCGGTGGACCATCCGCTGGTTGACCCACTTGGGGAAGAGCATACGCCTCAGCAACTCCGTGGACGAGCTCCAGTCAGGTCTCCATGCCGCTGAGCGTAACTGCCTCATTTCCTCCGCGATCTCCTCCTGGGTAATAATCATTGCGCACCGGTACTCTCTCATCTCGTTCATTTGGTTCTCGTCGCAATCTCTTGCTGAACATCCTCCGTGACAGCCGGCGCGCTTCATACGCTGTATCCATTCTTCTGCCGGCCTTAGAATATTGTGTCGCCCGAAAATCCTCTTCCTCCCGCCTGTGTTGCGTTGCGCCAACATTCTGGCAAGTTTGTGGATTGTGAACGTGTCATTCGCTGTTGCCGCTCTCATAAGCTCTTCGCATCTCATCTCTGTGAACTCAGCCCAATATCGTTCCTTCCCCTGTGTCAACCATCTGCTCACCACTTTCAGCCGATACGTCAATCTACCAATATCTCGTACTGCTATGATCTGATCAGTTGCGAATCCCTACTCAACCAACTCTCGATATCCGTCATCCCCGAAAAACTCAATCAAGTCAACCGCACCTTCTGTTCGCACATCTGTGCGAACGTGTAGTCTTGACCCACTCGCTGCGTCCGTATGTTGACCATCACACTGGTATCTCTGCTCAGTCACTCTGGTGTCTCTGCTCAGTCACTTGGGCCACCTGGACATCGAGCTTGACATCCACGTCGGTGGAGATGGTAAATAAACCTTCTCTAAGTTGCCGTCGTTGTTGCAGTAACTGTCGTACTTCACTGGCGGGCTGTGCATGGTCCTCGACATAGCCAACTGCGCCCACTAATTGAGTTTCAGCTCCGTGTCGAATCGTCTCGTGCACCGCCGTGTTCGCAACGTCGGGCACCATACTCCAAGGTATCGAACGCAAATGTGGCAGTTTCTCACGAAATCGCTGTTCGGCTGTGGCAACAAACCCTGAATTTCTGTCTCCAAGTTGAAGCATCTTGGCGACGGCCTCTTTGTTGATTGGAATCCGCTCGAGCTTCCTGTACGGTTGGCCCACTATGTCGATGTCAAAGCACGCCACCACTGGAACATAATCCCACAAGCCATTCTGGTTGTGTAGCTGTAGCCTCCACGCCGACTTCGTCAGTGTTCTGCACCACATCGTAGCTTTGAGCCACTCCGTAGGGACAATGACAACGTCGAGCGTCTTCACCACTCCCCTGTTGTAGTTCGTCGGTCCCTAGCCTGGGAAAAAAGTATTGATGGCGCACAGGCTGTGCGCCCGAAGACAGGGGGCCAGCATCTCTTTCGTGTAGTTGAATTATTGTAAATTATCTCCGCCTGTCACTTGTGAAACTTCGGCGAACTGGCCGTTCAAGTCGCAACATCGTACTGGTGACCATCGTGCGCTTGTCGTGTTCAACAAACTATAGAGCCAGCCCATCATCGACTTCACCGTCTGTTGCCAGCGATCTTGTTGCTCTCTGCCTCGGTTCGGCGAAGGAGGGAAATGCATTGCAATGACAACCATTCGTAAGGGGCCTCTCTCGATACGAACAGCTCCTACTCTACCTCGAAGATTTTTCGGCACCTGGGCGAAACCTCTCAAACATACCCTCGGGAATTTGTCACCGTTCAACCACACCTGAAGCCCACAGGCCTTCGTGACATGAGGCTTCGCCGACCACCCCCACTCGATCGAATAAAACTTGTCCAATCTTGATCTGGGGCCGATCGTCTCGGGGCCAGCGGCGCGCCTCTGTGTGGCGACCAGCACGAGCATGTCGAAGTTCGACAGCTCGCCCACGACGTCCTGGGCGCGCGTCCCCATGACATTGTGGGGGTTGAAGCAGCAGATGGCAACCCCGCATCGGGCCGCCTGAGCCCCATCGCAAGCTCGGGAAGCGTGGGCGTGCTCAGGACAGTCTTCCGAAGGTGGCATGTGTGTGGGGGGGGGGAGCCCCCCCATTTGCGAGGAAAATTGCCCCCCTCCTCCTCCTCCTCCTCCTCCTCCTCCTCCTCCTCCTCCTCCTCCTCCCTATTCCTCCTCCTCCCTCTTTATCCTTCTCCTACCCGTCCGACACTTCTCGTTCACGTAAAAGGCAAATCGTCGGCGAACACACATATCCCCAGACACCCCCGGGGGGCTCTCCGTTGCCACGGCTGGATTCGCTTCCGAATTCTGGTCAGAACGCGCCACAGCAGAGGTCCACGGGTATTTTTCTGCCCCGCGAAACCAGACTCACCCGCTCGCGTTGCGACAAAAAATCACGACGGACGTGTTTGTGTAATGTTCTGCTTTGGGGGGCCCTGACAGGGCCCCGGGACCGTCATATTATCATGGCGAAGGGCCCAACCATATGCAGTTGTGAGTACCGCGTTGTGGGTACCGCTTTCCGTGGGGCTCCCTATGGGGCCACGACCCTCGTGAAGGGTGTACTGACATGGGCGGGGCATCGGAGGAGCTCACGATGGGGCCACGATCTTCGTAAGGATTACGCCGAAATGGACGGGGGGGGACGCATGCGGACCCTGTCATTGGGGCCTTCGTTGAAGCCCCCGCTGGGGCCGCGATTCCCGTGAGGGATCTGCCGAAATGGGGGGGGGACGCATGCGGACCTTGCCACTGGGGCTTTCGGTGGGGCTCCCTATGGAGCCACCACCGTCGTGAGGAGTCTGCCGAAATGGGCGGAGGGGGACACATGCGGACCCTGCCATTGGAGCCTTAGGTGGAGCCCCCTATGTGGCCACGATTCTCGTGAGGGGTGTTCCGGCATGGGCGGGGGACGCATGCGGACCTTGCCGCTGGGGCCTCCGGTGGAGCTGCCTGTAGGTCCACGCAACGTGTGTGGAGGGGGGGCGAACTGGACATGCGGAGAGTAGAGGCAGAGCTGGGAGGAGGGAGGAGGGAGGAGGGGGTGGAGGAAGGAGGGAATGGACGCGGGGCGCTTTCTCTTCTAAGTTCTCAACGAGAACCCAACACCACAGGATGTTGAGAAAAACGAGTCAAGACGAAACGGCTGTCCCAGGGAAAGAGTCGGGACTTCAGGGGGGCCGTGTTGACAACCATCAGGACATCGCATGTTTGGGGAGAGGGGCGGTCAAAACGTTGCATGGAATCTCGCGGGTCGCTTTCGTGCGATGTTGTTTTCTCTTCTGGCTATCAGCCCAGGCCTAGACGGGATCCGAGCAGATGGGGTCGGAGGATCGCGCCGCATCGCCGATGCATCAGCGGTGCGGTTCGATCTGGAGCCCGATGTTGTCCACGCCGACGGCGCCGATGCATTGCCGACGTCGCCGATGCATCTGCGATACAGCAGTGATGAGTGATGCATTGGCGATGCGGCGCGATCCTCCGACACCATCTACTCGGACCCTATTTGGGAGGCCTCTCGGAAAGAGAGGTCGACCAAAACGTTGTCGTGGTAATGCTGCGGATCGTTCGCGTTAGACGGTCGTTTCGTGTATCCTCTGGCCGTCAAGTCACCCATTCCGGGGCCGGCAGCGGGCCCTCGGCCCTTCCTACAAACCATCGAACCCTGGCAGACAAGTTGCCCACACGGAGTTACAATACAACACCGCGCGCTGAAGGTATCGCACCGGCGAGGGCGCTGGCATGGCGGATTTACTCACCACGAAACGCGGTTATGTACATGTGTCGTTTGTTTTGCCAGTCTCAGAAAACTAGGCGCATACTGTGTTGGCCAGGGAGACCTCAGGAGGGGGCGCGTAACGGTCGCTGCCCGAGCCCCCCCCCTCCCCGGCAGCGGTAACGATCGCAAGTCTGGGGTGGGCTTGAACCCTCCCACAAGGTTGTGCTCAAGCGCATATTCTTCCGATCGCAGCGCACCCCCGCCCCGACGCGCCCCACGCCCAATCGTGAATTACCGTTATCCGGGTCCTCAACTTCTCCAGGCCCAGGTAGCGACCCTTACCGGCATCACAATAGCATACATCAGATGATCCTTGTTCGGTTGTTGGTGCTCGTTTTCCAAGGCGGTCCGGCCGATTGTCGAAACAGAGCGTTTTTGGTACACATCTGATGGGCCATTGCCGGGCCCCAAAACGCTTTTAAACGAAACCACAACGCACAACGCCGTTTTAGTCGGCCCCTGAGCGAGGACCTGTTCCAGGGCATGTGGAGCGGGTTCCCGCTGTACTCCGAGGGCTGCGGCTCTGGCACCTCGGAGGAGGAAAAGGTGCTGGTACTGCTGCCCTGGCCGCCTCGGTTTCACCTTTTTGGGTTTCCTGGGAGGCTCTCGTCGGCACGACGGCATTCTCTTCGAAATTCTCGGCGCTTCGCGTGATCCCACCAGCCCATCGAGAAACGAAGCACAGTCTACTTGTCCTGATCGGGGATGTGAAGGAGCATGCAGTGGAACACAAGACTTGGTAAGACGTTATACCCCAAGAGGGGGAGGATGGAGAAAGAAACGGATAAGCAGGAGTAGGAGGTGGAGGAGGAGGAGGAGGACCAGTGTAAACCCAAAACACATCAACGATCTTGGAATACACCCTCCCTCCAAGCTCCCTTGTCATTGGCCCCTACCAGGGTTCATCTCCATTTAGGGACGAGCCCCGTTGGGAGACAAGCGCTTGAAGACCCTGAAGCGTGCCAGAACATTCTCGAGACTCCAACGCCACGAATCAACGTGACTGTTGCGTCTTGACGATCCTGAATCGTGCCAGAATATTATTCTTGGAACTTCAACACCGCGAATCGCGGCGGGGTGGCCGTCATAGCGTGTGGTGGACCTGCACATAGCAGGCAATATGCCAGCACTCCCGCCGTCCCAATCAAAAACCAGTGCAAATTGGTCGCGGGGAGCCCGCGCATGATCCAGATTCAGCTGCGAAATGTATGGTTTTTTGATAGGGATGCGGGCCCTGTGCACGGCAGGCAATATCCGGGCACCCCCGCCGTCCCTGCCAAAAAACAATACAAAGTGCTCGCGCCCCCCCCGATCATGTCCAAGATTTTGCCCCAAAGTGGATTCTACATTGCTTTTGACAGGGATGGTGTGGGGGGGTGCCATTGGTCCTGGTTGGCTGCTGGTCGCCTGGGGGAGGGGGCGGTTCATGTATAGGGGACAGTGATCACGACACCCCGCCCGCAAGCTGTCTCGCTCGCTCCCACCCGCCCTCCCAACACAGCTGTCTCGTTCGCTCCCACACGCCCGCAAGCTGTCCCGTTCGCTCCCACAGAAGTGGCACCCGAGCTTCAGACTGTTCAGCTGACGTCTACGGATGCACAGCTAGCAGGAGCAAATACAGACTCCATGTGCGCGACTCTGGGGCGAGGTGCGCCACGTGAGCCAGGCGCGCCACGCGCGCCAGGTGCGCCAGGCATCCCCGGGGCGCAAGCGTGCAAGGCACGCCTGGCGCGCCAGATGTGTCACGTGCTCCACGTGCGCCATGCGTGCCGCATGGTCCAGCTGCGCCACTTTTGGGGCACGCGCAGGGTGTGCCAGCTGCGCCCACGCACGTGACACCACACTTCGGGAAACATGTCGGCCCCCACCATCCCTGTCGAAAGCCAGCGCGCCGTCCCAGTCAAAAACCACTGCACAGTTGTCGCGGGGTGCCCGCGCATGATCCATTTTTCGCCGCGGAGTGTATTTTGTATTGTTGTTGACAGGGATGCTGGCCCTGCGCACAGCGAGCAATATGAGGGCACCCCCGCCGTCCTTGTAACCAAAAATGCAAAGTGCTCGAGGGCCCACGAGCATTACCTGAGAATGTGCCCCCAACCTGTAATTTGTGTTGTTTTTTGGCAGGGATGGTGTCTGGGGATGTAATTCGTCTTGGTTGGCTGCCATTCACCTCGGGAAGGGAGTGTTTATGAATTTGGAACAGTGATGAACCCCTCCCCGAAGGGGAAGAAGGAAGATGGCAGAGGACACTTCCTAAACCATTTGCACCCTACAAGGCCCTAAAGGGCTGGCGGGATTCTGATCAGAGCGCGCCCCGGGAGAGGTCCAGGAAGTAGCCGTATCGGTCGGTACCGTCCTGGCTGTGCATTTCCGGGCGCCCTCGGCGACGCCACATTGTTGCCCCCGCTCGCGCGTGGAAGCACCCGTGCGCCGTATTCTGTTGGGGCTGGAAGGCTCATCAGGTCGCGCGCGCGGGGTGCGCGCGGTCTTGCCAGTGCGTGACCAAGGCGCTATAGTACTTGTAGTTGTATGAAGGTCGGCGCAGGCTCAGTACCAACCGTTCGAACCATTGGTAGAACGCCCGGCCCCCACGACCCCACCCCCGATTCCCAGATCGTTGGAGAAAGATGTGATGTTCGGTCGCGATCGGTAGCGATCGATCGGCGCTCCAAATTCGTCGCGACCGAGCCCACAATCGATCGCGACTGGTCGCAACCGATCGCGACCAACTGGTCGCGACCGATCGGTCGCGACCGATTATGAAGCAAGCCGGTCGCGACGGGTACCGAATTGCAAGATCGGTAGCGACCGATCTCGTCGGTCGCGACTAAAACATTTCAGAGTCCAGTT